AGAGAGAGAGAGAGCCCCTGCAAAAGGCACTTTCTGGAGTGCAGAGCTATTTATTTATTTTATAGAGCACTTCTACAAAGGAGAGGAAGGGACATCGTTACAAGGCACAATGCGAAGTCCCAGGAGAGAGCCAAGTATAGCCAAACAGAGCCATTTATTTGTTTTGCATTTAAAGAGAGCAAGATTGATTTCAGAAATTATTCTTCCAGACTCACAGCCTTAAAACAAAGCAGAATATGCATGTTTTAATGTTTCTACTTGGCTGCATTGTACAATATCGTGTCAGAACATTCTTTACATAGAGCACAACCACCAGAACTAACATGCAGTCATCTTCCAAAAGTATGAATTTCTTTAAAACAACTCCTGTGAAGTGAGCCTGAATACAAAAACCTTGATTAGTTTGAACCAGGAATGTTTACGGGTTAACTCCCAGTTCAGGCTAAATTCAGATATTGAGCAGGGCATTAGTGCATTCCTGTCCCTCCAGTGTTCGCAATAAACTGGGAAAAGAGAAAGCCAGAGTAACTTTATCCTCCGTGCACTGATCTATCCCACGTAAATAGAGCAATAGTATCCTGCACATGTATGCAGGTTCAAAGAGGAGTGACTTTTGCTCTCCTTGTGTTATGGATATAGGTAAATCGAGGGGCAGAAAGACTGAGGGCTCAGCTGCAAAGCAGACTGGCAGCCAAAACTTGCACTAAATTTCCACAGAATGTAGCACCTATGTAAAGCCGCAGCCCGTGAGCTATCACAGCATGCACGGCTGCTGCATTTCCCCTGTGAGGACCCTCGCTCAGGTTCCCCTACCCTTAAAGTCACTTTCCCCTTCTCCACATGAAGGGGACAGCTGATGCTGAATGAGGCTCTGCTTAGAGCATGTACCAGATCCTTTGCCTTTTGTGCCCACACAACCTTTACCACTCTCTCCTGCTGCTTCTTAGTGGCAGATGACTCCCCAGAAGAGAATCTTTTGGTGGAAGGGGACTAGGACAAAGGACCAAGGAGCTCTGCTGAGACTGCAGCAGGGAAAAGCAGAGGGATCCTATTAATGCTTGCAGGGTGAGATAAGGTGAATGTTTGTGCTGAATGCCAAACTCAAGAAAAGCTGTCAACGGGGCCAGAAGAAAAGACAACCCCAAATGTTTTAGCAACACAGGTGCATCCTGTGATACTTCATTATCTTTGCATAATGGGTCTAGCTAGCGAGCAACCCCAGGGATAGGAAGGTTTAGTGTGCTAAAGAGCAGTGCAGTTAACTCCTTTTGGAGTGTTTTATAATCAAATACTACAAGTCCTTCGGAAGACATGACTAAAAGTGCAAGTGCAGACAAAGCCACCCTTAGGTAATTCCCTTGATTAAAGCTCTCAGACTTGAAATGAATCTAATTAAGAACATTGTGAAGGCACAGAAAGGCAGTGTTCACTTATGCCCTCTTTTGCAGATGGTGAGTTGCCAAACAGAATTGAGAATCTTAATTGCAAGAATCATCAGCAAATTCAAAAAGGATGGTAAATCAGGGACTGCAAAAGTCAGACTGTTACATAACAGCAATGCTGCCAGATCTCCTGGTTCTTGCATTAGATAGGAAAGGCACTCCCAAGAGAGGATGCAGTGCTTTTTATAAAAACTGCTGAAAAAGGAGGCAGAAACCTAGCCCAGACTCATGCCATCCTGAGTGATGCAGCCAGCAAAGTTGATGAAAGAGGATACCCTTTCTACCAATTCGTTTTTCCTTCATTATTTGACGCTGTTCCTATGCCCCTCTTGAGAGGCAGCCGAACACACAATGGTCGTATAATGGAGTTCTCACAATTGGCCAGATCTCTGCTTTTTTTTTTTTTTTTGATCTTTCAATCCTTCCATAGCAGGTAATGTGCTTTGATGTGTCACTGGAAATTTTCATTTCATTAATCAGCTTTCCATCAAAATGCTGACATTTCACAGATATTCTTCTCAGATAAAAGCAAGGCAGTTAAAAAATACTTTTGAAATCAGATGGTGAAAAACACTGACCACCTAGAAGTTCATTTCTGTCTGACTAAATTTTCCCCAACTGTCTGCCTTAGTCTCCCAAGAAAAAACATCTACTGAAGTATGGTAAAAAATGCTTATAAATATCTGATACAGATAAGGCAGACAGAAAAATCTGTTTGGCTGCATAGAAAATGGTTTGATAAAAAAGAAGCAGGAGGTACTTGGGAATTACAACTTATTTGTGGGGTAGAGCTGAGCTCCTTCACTCCATTCAACTTTTGTAATCAAGCAAAATATAGACGGAAGCAAGCTCCAAGTAGGCAATTACCTCAAGGACCACATGTTGTTCTCTACATTCAAAAAGAATAGCAACTAAGTGAATGGTTGAACTGTATTCTAATAATAACCTGGGATGGTTTTCATAGACTCATAGAATGGTTTGGGTTGGAAAAGACCTTTAAACATCATCTAGTCCAACCCCCTCTGCCATGGGCAGGGACATCTTTCACTAGATCAGGTTGCTCAAAGCCCCGTCCAACCTGACCTTGAACACTTCCAGGGATGGGGCATCCACCACCTCTCTGGGCAACCTGTGCCAGTGTCTCACCACCCTTATCATAAAAAAATTCTTCCTTATGTACAATCTAAATCTACCCTCTTTCAGTTTAAAACCATTACTCCTTGTCCTGTCCCTACAGGTCTTGCTAAGAAGTTTCTCTCTATCTTTCTTGTAAGCCCCCTTTATACATAGAAAGGCTGCAATAAGGTCTCCCCGCAGCCTTGTCCTCTCCAGGCTGAACAACCCCAACTCTCTCAGCCTTTCTTCATAGGAGAGGTGTTCCATCCCTCTGATCATTTTTGTGACCCTCCTCTGGACCCGCTAAATCACCTATGCAAGTATGAACAAACCCAGCCGATTCCTCTGCACTCCCCATCTCCCTCGACCTGCTGGCCACACTTATTTTGATGTAGCCCAGGATACGGTTGGCTTGCCGGACTGCAAAGGCACATTGCCAGCTCATGTCCAATTTTTATCCACCAGTATCCCCAAGTCCTTCCCTGCAGGGCTGCTCTCAATCCATTCATCCCCTAGTCTGTATTGATACTGGTGATTCTCTTGACCCAGGTGCAGGACCTTGCACTTGGCCTTGTTGAACTTCATGAGGTTTGCATGGGCCCACTGCTCAAGCCTGTTAAGGTCCCTCTGCATGGCATCCCTTCCATCTAGCATATCAACTGCACCACTGAGCATGGTGTCATCTGCACATTTGCTGAGGGTGCACTCAGTCCCACTGTCTATGTTGTTAATTAACATAATAAATAGTATTGGTCCCAGTACCAGTTTCCACTCTAACAGTTTAACAATAACAGTTCTTGGAGTTATTCTGATCTTAGCCCAATTCTAGTGCTAACAAAGACAACAAAGCTTGATCCTCAGTTTACCATTTTTTGTGACAATATAGAAATGTGCAAGTTAGCAGGTCTATAGATGTTACCTATGTGTGCACACATATCTGGTGTAACAAGAGACAAACAAAGAATACTCAGGATAAATGCTTTTATTTTTGATGGTTTAAGAAACAAATACTCTAAAAAATACCCAAAGCATTTAAAGCCACTATGTGAAAAGTCAAGTCTTGGTGTTAATGGAAATCATTGAGTGCAACTGCTCCTGACTTACTACAAATGCCCAGTACACTTCCATTTCTCAAAGTACCAAACTACCATACTTGTGCTCACACTGCAACCCTCTTAATATAAATAAAAAAGAGCAAGACTCCATCACAAAGTCAATCCAAAGCCTTTGAGAATGGAAACTAATAATTAAGAAGAGTTACTAATTAGTTACTGAGCTAGATTCTCACCTGGTAAAAAACTGTTTAGCTCAACTTTTCAATCAATACTTTTAAGTGGGTCTATTTTAATACAGATCAACAATGACATGATTAATTTTAACATATTATAAGGACAACCAAAACCACAGGGTTTACAGTCACTTGCAAGATTAGCGAGAGACCGAGGGAGAGCGAAAACTTGAATTTGTTTCTCATTCATCTACTCATAAAAGGTGACAAGTTGATAGCTGTGGACCAACATCATGCTGTGGTCCAAAGCCAAAGAAAATGTCAACTAAATCCTGCCAATGCCTCAGCTGAGATAAATCATCATAGCTCTATTAGTCAGCCTTCTAACTTCCAGCACCCAAGGATTTGGCTCTATCTACAGTGTATGTTCAGACAAGTTATAAATCAATCAAGTGTCAACTTGACCGCAGTTTCTTTTTTCTCTTTAAATATTACTGTGTCTTTGATAGTTAAAAACAAGTCTCACTGAAGTCGTCTAATTGGCAGGAGGAGGAAAGCATTTACAAAGGTCATTTCCTATAAACCCAGCAGACTAAAGTTCACTCACTGCCCATCATCCAAAAGTTGTTGTTACCTACACTGGGAAAATTTCCCCACTTATTAGTCCAAATTAGTTGGAATCATCAGTCTGTCTTTCTTCCATGAGAATGGGGAAAAGAAAAGATGCATCTCCCCTTCCTTGTGTCACCACCTGGGTCCAGGGACAGCCTGGTGCTTTAAACATCCGCTGTTTCTGGCAGACCCTGCAGGAGCTTATGAATGAATTCCCACAAACTGTGTCCATGACCACGCAAAACTAGCAGGCTCCCAGTCATCATGCTCAGCTGGAGCCCAGAGTTACAGCAATCAACAGTAACTTCACACTCCTCTGAGCTGGACTCCACCAACAACCATACCATGCTTGCCACTGATCCCCATTCCTCCGTGTGGAATCAAATTCCCAAAGAGGCTGAACTTCTGGAGAAGCCTTGCTAAGCCACTACCCAACATTTCAACAGCTCAGGCTTCCCAAGGAGTTCGGTCTGGCCTTAGGACTCATTTCTGTTCTTTCTCAAATGCACTGAGTATGGAAATTTTACCCGACAGGGCTGCTCCAAACACAGAGACTTACCATTCAGTCTCTCAAATCTTTGTATTAAAAGGCTCAAACTTACGGTCGAGTGCTGAATGGGTATCCAGGCAGGTGTTTCGACTGAGCATTTGTGGGATGGGCATCTGCCATGGCTCTGCTGCAAATAAGTGAAAATGGCATTATACACAACACAGTATGTGCTGCAATCGCTAGGCGCAATGGACTCCATTCCAGATGGAGCATCTAGGAGTTTGCTAGTATGTATTACACCTCACAAAGTCATTTTCCACTGTCATGTAGGGAAAATAACCTGCAGTTCACAGGACCAAAAAGGCCTCGACAGTTGTCCATTAATTTTGCTTTGAAGTTCTCAGTTATGTGGGTGAACATATCCTTCATCCACTCCAAACCCCAAGCATGTGCCTTCTGGCCTTCCTCTGCACTGGAGCATTCAGAGAACAACAGCAGAGCTTTAGGCAGTAGGTAGAGACTGGCTTTTCCCCCCCCATTTCATGACAGGCTGCATTTTCCGTTATGTCCTCTTTGAACGAGTGATAGCTGCAGCCTGAACCACCCCAGGGCTATTTTCCAGGAGAAGTAAGTCTGTCCCAAATTTTTAGGGTGTGTTTCTTTGCTGAGCAGAACACTCTGCTTGCTCCCTAGATTGTCCCTGGAGGACATGGAGCAAGTACCCAAGACTCCTGCAGTTCCCTGAAACTTTACAGAACCAAAAGAGTGAGGGGTTAATTTAAAGTTTAATGTTCCACATGGCAGTGCAAGATGCAACCATCAGGCCTTCAGGCTGATCTTCCTGTAATTTCCCTTGCATTTGCAGTGATTCAATTACATTTTAGCAAAGGTTTGGAGCCCATCAGAACAAATTGCACAGCAGACTGGGTCAGAGTCCCTGAAGAAAAGTTCAGAATAAATTCTGGTGTCTGCCACCATTACTCTCAGCATTTCACATAAGAGTCAAATTATTATTTGGCTCCTTGAATTGGAGGACTCTTGTAATCATGTGTGTTTCTGAAGCTGGAAATAATGGGGGAAAAAAGCTTGCTTCCTTTTATTTTCATTTAAGCCAGATATATCGCAAGCAGCTATGTTACACCTTTCTTTTCCCCATGCTGAGAGCAAAGGAGAGCGACCTCTGCAAACACTGATGATTAGGCTTCACACGATTTTCAGTTTTGAGTCTGATTTAAGAACATTAACTAATGCAGCACTATTAGTGCTTTGCTCTTTATCTCCAAAAAGTAAACATTTGTAAAGCATTGCAATACTAAATACCTTTATAAGTAAAAAAAAGGAAAAAATGTGCATATATATACCAGCTTTACATTCCCCAAACCTTAAAAACTGGTTATCTATTATATTTTCACTTAGACAACTTTAAGGAATATTCAGAAAAACAGCTAGCAAGCAAGAAGCATTGCACCTTTAGATGAAAGTTTAGAAAATCTTGCTGTCATGGCAGCAATATCCTGCGGGTGTGTGTTATCTCCTGTAAGGAAGGGATGAATGCAACAGCAAACTATGTAATCCTATCAAAATAATAAAACTATAAATGAATTTTGATCAGAAGACTAAATGAAATATTGGTAATTATTTTTTCCTTTCTTTAACAATTGTACATCTTCAGTCTTTAATCCAAGGCAAAATAAAGGCAAGAAAATTAATAATTTGCTTTGGACAGGAAACATTTTTCTGATTGAAAGGCCTGATCTTACAAACTGAGGTAACCATGTATAACATGTTTGTCAGGAGACTCTTCAAAAAGACGCCTCACATTCTTAAAGAGGATACATCTGCAAAATAAAAGCTCCAGACCTCATATCAGGAGGGGCTAATACTCTGCAAGTATTCTTGACTTTGAGATTCATACCAAAATTGTCCCAAGGCCCAGAATCACATGACACATGCTGCATATTCAAAGGCCAGAAAGACAGAGGTAACCGGGCATTGCTCGTAGGCAGCAGTTCTCCAGAGATCCCAATTTTTCAGCACAAGGGCTGGGCTGATCGTGCATGGGGTGATCGTGGGCCATAGGGTGACCTGCAGAGCTTGGCCTTTCGCAGCTGGATATTTGAATTACTGTGCTGATAACATGACATTGCACTGGTATTGTCTGAGAAATCCATCTAGTTCAAGGGCTGGGACTGAACACTTTTCTCCTACAGCTTTTTGGGGATTTGGGGTTGGATTTTTTTTGTAAATTACAGCTGATTTCTTATTTGTATGATCACTACTTTTTGTATTGTTGTGTGAAAACCAATGCTTTTCATACCTTCAATATCTTACACCCTCACCTAGTTGAAATAGCTCTAAGAAATAAGGTTGTATATCAGCCGCTGGTAATGCTTTTCTGCATAGAAGTGCTCAATTATTATTTTTTTAAATAAGCCAAAACCTCCAACATGTCACACCTGGAGAAACCAACTAAAAAAAATACCCAAAAGGTCAACACTACATAAAGTATTCTGCAAGCATAGGCAATACAAGTGAGCATAGGAATAAATATGTTAGGAATTATTTGCAGGCTGTAGAAGGAATTCGTTCCATCGATTATTACTGCTAACATTTTCCCCAGCTTAGGAGTTTGGTGAGCATAAGAACTATAGACCCTGGTCTGCCACTACACTGGAAAGTTAAAGATCTGAAAAGTGATGAAAATCCATCATTTGAAATCATCTTTCTTCAGACAGCCTTCAAGGGAGGACAGAATTACCTGTAGTTTGCTTTTCATGTTTACTAATATTTGTATGCAAAAAGAATATGTCTTGCCTTGCTGTTTGGGAGAATATGTTCCAATAAAAGAGTTCTCCATCTGAAATGGAAACAGAGAGGCTGTTTCTTCATAGCTTATGAATGAGCGATTTCCACAGTCTTGTTTTACTCCCTTTCTTTAAGGATACCCGGCCTCCTGCACTAACTAAGCTTCACCCTTGAGACAGCTCCAAGGTAGTGATAGACACAGTTATCCAGGCGTAGGCTTTATCACAGCTTCATGCAATCAGAGCCTTCAAAATATGCTGTAAGATCTTCAGCTTGTGTAATTTTTGTATAAAGAGACCTTGGGACACAAAAGAATAAATCCATTCTCATTGCTGAATTCAGCATTAGTCACAGCTGTTTTTCTGGGTTGATGCTTTAAATCCCTGATAAATTGCACAGCAATAACACAGTCAGGAAGCAATGAAGCAATGACCAAAGTCAGATAGAGATGCTAACCTCCTAGTCAGTTAGAGACAGTGCAATTCCTTCTCTGGAGGCACTGTTACATCTAATTCCCAAACCGATAGGTTTATCAAGCATCCAGAAATACAGACCCCATAGGTAACCAGGAGACAGAAAAGCACCAACTTCAGAAGACAAAACCAAGGCTGCAAGCAACTTGCAACTTGCAACTGCAAGCAAACTTCCTAGTATGCAACCTTTAAGCAAGCTTCTTTTCTACGTGCTTTTCTCAGTCAGGTGTTGAAATAACTGACTGCTATTAGCACTGGTCAGAAACATCAGTATAATGTATCTGCAAGATACATTAATATAATGCAGAGTGGTAGCATCAGTGCCCACTGCAATACTGAAGTGGGAAATATTGCATATTGAATATTGAATCGGAAGGTGAGAGCTTTATGGCACTGCACGAGAGGTTTCAGGTGACAGAGATGCAGTTGCACATCAGCAAGCTCTGAGTAAGGTTTCAAGGAAGAATTCCTCTTTTGTGTTGTGTGATCAACCATAGTGACTGCTGAGGGTGTTTGGAGGACTTTAAGAGCAAGTACTGTCTCATAGGCAGGGAGAGATTCCATATATATCATCAATACCAAATTTGGATGGCCAAATATTGCCTAATGTGACTGTGGCTGCAGACACATTTGGAGGCAAATCTTAGTTCTGCAGGAAGATGTAACAAAATGCAGAGAGGATATTTAGGAATATTTTATCTGCTAAAAGTTCAGGGCTCACTGAACTGCAGCAGTCTTTAAGATCTGACTTAATATTCTTTGTCAGAGAAAATATTGGTGATCAGAGTCAAAACCAGTCACAGCTGAGATTCCATTTGTATCCACTAGAATGGCCAGGAATATGACTTGCAAATTATATACAAGTCCTTGAGTGAGGTCTCCAGTAGCAAAAGAGCTGGGTGAAGTCAAACCCAGTGGAACATACGCAGCCACTCCTACATATCCTTGCAAATTATCTTCTCTGATGCAGATGATTCTCTGGAGAAATGAAAATTGTAGATCTCAGCTAGAGGTCTCAGACCGAGTAAAATATAATCCTATACTAGGCCATACCCCTGACCTAATGAGTCACTCATAAATAACCATTCCCTTCTCCTTGACTGCACACTTCCTCTCATTTTTCAGAAGTCTTGGATCAGGTGGAGGGAGACAGAAGGAAATTTGCATGGTAGTAGCAAACAGATTAAAACACAAAAGAAATGCATGTTTATGTTGAGGATACATGCCAGGAGACACATCTTTTCTGCTTTTAGTGGCCTATTGGACATTGCAAAGAATCCATTTGGTCAGCTCCAGCTATGTGAAATGCATAAAAATGCAGCTCACCTCGGCACTAGGAAATTATCTTCCCACCTCCACCCAGGCCCTCCGAATCTATCATTGAGTAGGGCTATCATTAATTGAGCCAGGATCAGGCTCTCTTGTTTTCTTTTTCTTGCTCAGTATCTTCCACCTTTCCTTATATCTGCAGCTCTCCACTGCTGTGCAGTAGTATTAAGACTAACCATATCTGCCTGAGCAGTTAATTGAACATTTTCTTTTCTCAGTTTATAGAGCTGTTCATAGAATTATGAAACAAATCACCCTTCTCCTTTCATAGTTAAAACCAATCTCAATAAAGACATCTCCCTAAGATGAGCAAATTATAATCTAATGAAATCTATTGAAAATTTCAGTTGCACTAAACAAGGTCAATGCTCGGAAGAAACGAAATGTCACTCAGAAATGGAGATCAAAGTAATTCCCTTCTATTCCTGCTGCTGCCATAGAGACCAAGGGAGGGAGAAGAGGGGGAAGAGATTTAACAGACTTAATTCTTCCTGAAATTTATAATTAACTACAAGGGAAAAGGGACAATTACCATATTTCTAAAGAATAAAGGAGAAAAAAGTTGAGCTTTTGACAAGAT